TACAGTACTGACAGGATGTTAGCTATAAGAGCACAATAATCAAATGGGTAAATCCCAGTCTGGAAAATGTATTAGTTCAGTTATTAAATTGTCTGTGTCCAACCATCATTCAGTTGCTTTCTGGCAAAATGTTTGTAAGGCAAAACAATGTGCTCCTAGTCTTCAGATGACAACAGAGATTATGTTAAACTTTTGGTGCAGTCTGGCGGGGAGCGTGGGAGGTATTCTAGCACCCTGTATCAACAGAGAAAGATTACAAAATCCAGTGCAGCTACTTTTCCACAGGGTGCTGACAAACAGCACTGTGGATTTGGTAGCTCATGGCTGTATCACCTGCTGGGGATTGTCCCACGTACAGATCACCATCTTCTTCATGCAAACGCCAGTGAGAACCAGTGATGTGCCCTTGTGGTTTTCAAAGCACGATTGGGGACTTAGATATAATGACATAACTAGTTTCTAAATTGCTTAATATTGCAGGGGAATTCACTCATGATGAGCCTAACTTACTCCTTCTGGGTGTGTCTACATGTTCATTACTATGCTGTAGTTACTGTGCATTAAGTTTACTACCTGTATTACCAGGTACTAAATCAATGTGCAGTAACCGGCACTACCACGCAGTAGCATCAGCACATGCCTTTTAAGAGACGCTAATGCGCAGTAGATCAATTCTACTGCATATCAGCATATTAGCACTAGGGCTGTGTGAAGCTTTGGGTGTTGATTTGATTCAGAGGAGATTCGGCCCAATTCAGTGGCCGAATCTCCAAATCCGAATCGAATCAGGGGATCAACAAAAAGGTTGGAATCGATTCAAAGCTCTCTGAATCAGTTTGGAAAAGATTCAGAGTGCTTCGGTGATTTGGGCAGTCCCTCATAACTGCAGCAGGAAGCTGGAACCAGACTTGGAGCTGGTAAGTAGGGGGCAGGGGAGGGGCCCCTGCCAGGCCCCATCCTCTGCCTGCTACCCCAGCCCCCCCCATGGCTGCCCCACCAGGCCCAGCTCCTGGCCCTTTAAAAAAAAGTTCCCACTCACAAGGAGGCTTGTGTAAGAGCCCCGCACATGGCGTGGGGCAGCAAGAGGCAGCAGGGAGGGCCCCCACCAGGCAGAAGCCAGTGAAGCCAGGGTTTTGGGCGGGTTGTTTTTCCTTAAGGGCTGGAGCTGGGGTGGGCAAGGCAGCCATGGAAGGTCAGGGGGCTTGTGCAGAGCTCCCCATGCAGCGCAGGGCAGTGGGGAGCAGTGAGGATCGCCCCCTGCCCAACAGCACCCACTGAGTCAGGGCTTTTTTTTCAAAGTGCCAGGAGCTGGGGCAGGTGGGGCAGCTATTGCCAGGCTGGGAGAGCGGGCGGGGGATGGGCCTGGGCGATTGGAGATTTGAAGCTTCGGCAGTAGCTGAATCAGATTCGGCCGAATCAATTTGGGACGGTGATTTGAATCACCGAATCAAATCACTGTCCCTCAAACTGGCTTAATCCGAAGCTAATACTAGCCACTTCACACAGGCCTAATAAGCATGGCTTTCTCTGTGACACGCTAATGTGCAATAGAATTAGTCTAGTGTGCATTTAGCATCTCATATAGACACACCACGTGTAGTAACCTAGTACTACAATATGAGGTGACTAGTGAAATATATTCACAATTAAGATACCAGGGTAATATAATTATCTAATACTTGTGAATATGGGAGCAAGGGCCAGCATCCCTTTTCTCTGGCAAAACATGCATGGCTCCAAATCCTGCTCCCAACTCTAACAGTGCCTCTGCCTTGTATTTCAGGCACTCACATTAGGCCCTTCAAATTCACACAAAGTTTTGCTCAGGTAAGAGCATCAGGATTTGGATCCTGTATTTTTAATTCCCCTCCAAAATGCTATTTGAAAACAAAAATTCTAGAATATTATTGGTATAAGGTTTTCATGGGAACTGCTAATAGGCCTTTTACACATTTCTGGTGCTGCTTGTAACAGGGCAGTCTCCTCAGTGCCCATTACAATTGAAGCAGTGACACCCAACTTGAGATGAGGAGAGAAAACTTACCAGTGTCTGACCCCTCACTTAGAAGGCTGGGTTGGCATGTACCACCAGGAACCCAGGTGTTCCCAGTCTGATTCTGCCCCGGCTGTAGCGGGAAAGCATGCGGGAGCTGCACCATCTCCTATGGGCTCTGAGTGGGGGAGCCGGAAGTTAAACAGAGTGAGTCCAGCAGACCAACTGCCCCAGAGAGGGGATCACACGAATATGGCAGTTAATCCTACCACACGGAGGTGCAGGGATATACCTAGGAGCTCCAGCTGTTTGGAGAAATGAATGAAACTAAAAGTAAGTGGATACATACCTTGAGTGAAGAAGTGGTGCAAATGTCTTCAGAATGGGTGAAGAGCTGCGACAGGGTGAGTGATGACACCACAGTGTGTTTCTCCTGGGGGAAGGAAAGAAATGCGAAGATGGTTTGTCAGTTGGAGAGACTTGGGGTTAAATTTCCCCTCACCCGAGAGTCATCCTGACTAAGGGAAAACCTGGGAAACTTGGTGTGATTAAGGGGGTGAATACAAATACCGGGAAGGGTTGATGGATGCTGGGCACCCTGAGAAGTTAAGGGCCAATAACTGAGACTAATTGATTGAAAGTAAAGATAGCTGGTAACCCTATCAACAATAAACCTAGGCTGTGGAGAGAACAGCTGGGAGAGAGTGAGGGGAAGAGTGCCTCTAAAGACAACAGTGAAGAGTCAGAGAAGAAGAGAACCATACTGTTTCCATTTTTTGATCTTCTGGATCAAGGGGAGAAGGGGCCCAAAGAGTTCATATGCCCGGAACATCCCAGGTGAGGTGAGGACAGGGTGTGGGGGTGGAGGAGCCATGTAAAGAAGCTCATAGCCATTATCCGGATGTAACAGGTAAAGTTTCGGAGCCAAGCCAAACTGTGACCCGCTCACCTGTTCCTGTGGCAACCACCCGCCTTCTCGCCTGCCATGCCTTGATGTTAATTAATTAGTTCAT